TTAATAAATGAGGATGCTTCTCAAGGTAAGAAATTATAATTAAAATAGTAATAAGAGTGTAATTAATCTTTTTTTTTATATATAAAATACATTTACTTTTGAATATTCTTTGGCCAGTGAATCAACAATTAAACCAGAAATAAATTATATTGGCAAAAAAATTTTTATTAACGCCGCAATTGAACAAAAATTAAATTATGTTAATCGTAATCAATATAAATTTTATATATAGCTTTTTACTCATTTATTTATACTTAATTTGTTTATTTATTATTTTTACATATCATAATTTCAAAAAGTAGTTATGTAAGTATGTAATAATCTGTAATTATACTGCCTGTTGGAACTACAATAAGAACAGGTTTTTTTTGATACGGTTATTCATTAATTTTATTATGCATGTAATCTGGTTTTAAATATACAGTACTGCAGTATTGATAAAGTAAACTGTATGAAAATCATGTAATTTCTATAACGATAATTGAATTGAACTTTAAATTAGAATGGCTTTTATGTTAGTTCCAAATTTGGTTTGGAGCATCACAAAATTTTACGCGATTTCTAACAGAAAATATTGTATTAATCAGATATGAATGTTATATTATATTTGAACACATTTCTAATATAAATTGTACTCTAAATTAGCTTGTATGTATTTAACATAAAAACAGGAAAATTTATTGATATCAATATTGTATAATTCAACCCATACGAATTTTTGGAACAACCTGATTTCTATCAGACAAGATTGTATTAATCTGTATCAAATATAATTAAATATGATTGCTAAGCCTAAAAAGTTTATCCTACATAAGATTCGTCAAAACTATTTGCATTACCTTTAAAGTAAAATAACACATGACACTAAATGAATTAAAGAAGTTTTGTTACTGGTCTTGGCAGTAGATGATTGTGATTAGACACCGAAATACAAAGAAAAGTTTATCTTACAAATCTAGACTGATCCCCTTAATGTCTTCGACAAAGTAAAACCACATATTTTACACACATAATATCTATTTCTACTTCTAGCTATTCTTTGAATGTAAAACATGTCAAGTGTCATATTTTGCAGATATTTTTGTTTGAACAAAAGAAAAAAGCAATATTTATACTCCTGTTCGATATATACTAAAGTAACTAGCAAATTATAATAATATGCAATTATCTTAATGCGTTAATTTAAATATTTTTATATTAAAACACGTATTGAACTTAATTAGAGTACTTTTTTATATTCAATTATATGTTTATATTGAAAATTTATCAACACTATAAATTTATCATTTTCAATTATATTACATTAGTGTATTATTCAAAATAGATAATCTCTTAGTCAATTGTCATGACCTCTATAGACAGTTCGAATTTTTGATCTTTTTTTAGAGCATCATGCAAACAAAAGAATTTTATGCGATTTTCTACACCAGTAAAAACTGTTAGATCAATACAGATCTAAAGTATAACATTACATGATTCAGTTTTAAATAAGATATTATTGTGATTAAACGCTTTATAATAGTGATATTTTTATTAAAACACGCAATTCTAACCCTGAAAAGTTTATCACACATGTAATTTTATTAAAACTAGCAAGTCTATTAACTGAAACATTATGACAGTTTGTCCTCTTTTGAAGTTCGTACAATATCTAAGTTTATGCTACCTACACCAAATTTAATAATTGATCCTTGTAGTTGTTCAAAAAGATTATTAAACACGCGTAAAGATATTTTATTTTACTAAAACTAGTAAGTTTATTGACTGACCAAGACAGTTCAAACATGACATTTGATGAAAATCTTTGCTCGTGGTTTGACCTGTGCAGCTCAGAAGATAAAAAAAAAATATTAATTTCATAAAGAAACTGTAGAAGTAATTATCAAAAATTTTATAAAAGAAGCCTCAAAATTCAAGGTTGCAAGTTAATTCTTGTAAAAAAAAATATGTCAAGAAGATATCCTGAAGAGTGTGTTAAATGTAATGGTTTTTGCATGTACGCAAGACTTGAAAAAATAACAACCTCAGTTCATGATAAACAAAATTCTTAAATTAATGGATTTGAATGTACTAACCAATTTATTCAACAACCTCCTTTTGTTGGTCCTAACCATATCGAATCTATTCATTAACTTTCTTATTATAGACCTATTTAGCAACCTCAAAATATGAATAGACATGTTCAACCACTTATTTTTAATGGACCTCGGCACTCTCGTGTTTACAGACCTGAACAATTTCCTCAGCACCCTTGTATTAACAGACCAGTTCAACTTTCACAAATTATTGAGATTAACAATGTTAGTAATAAAAATCATATCCCAGCTGAGCCTAATCCACAGATTCAACACCATCAAGCCACCATTAGAAATTATCAGATTCAACCCCATTGACTCCTATACAAGCCAACATTCAAATTAATAACCTCCAAAGACAACCATCATTCGTATCTCAAACCTCAAATGCCTCAAATGTAACTGTCTAGCCCTTACAAGAGTTTAAAAATTGTAACTGTCTTGTTTGTAGTCTTTTAAAGAATCAATGTTTTCAAAGTATTGGTGATAAAAATTGTGTTACATGAAATGAACAAAATGAAAAAGTGAATGTGAATAATGCAACAGTTATCATCAATAATAATAATCCTCAAGACTCTCAAAACTCGAAGAAATTGAAATACATTGTTTTTACTTTTATCATTATTTGCGTAGTTTTATTTTTAGTATTGATTTTTTTTAACAGTAACATCACAATTTTATCTGCTGTCTTTGCCGATAACAGAACCTTTTTCTTGAATTTAAGGTTGGTGGGGCAATTAGTTGCAATTATAAGTACCGCCATTAGTTTTTTTAAATTTTACACTACTGGCAAATAATACTTGATATTCACTTTTTGCGGTTTGGTTTTCTTTACATTTAACAACATTTTAAGCTTTTGATAATAAAATCTACTTTGTCTTGATGTTAATAATGCGAGTTTGTCACTTACAGTAATAAAAGATTTATTAGATTTTGAACCAAAAAAATTATAAAGGTGTTTTTGTTTACTTTATCTGTTATTATCATTTCTTAGATTGTCGCTAAAATAAGCTCATGGAGAATAGTAATAATTGCTCTTTACAATAATAAAAAAGCACTTTTGCATAGTAAATTAATGCCGTAACTAAAAATTTCACGATCTTGGCGCTTCGATAACTTCTTGAGTTGAAATTGATATGCTTATCATGTGATCGTCAATCACTGAGTTAAGTGTTCTTTAAGTGCCCCTCTTAGTTCAAATAACATTAAGATTTATTCGTTTTGAACTATCACGTGAGTTTGTCAGTTAAATTTATAGTTTTGACAAATCACGTGTACGTAATTATTGTAACCATTAAATACTGAAATACGTAGTGACAATTGTTTTGATCATCATTCGTCAACCAATCAGAGAATTTAGCATATCTAAACCAAAAAGGCAATTTCCT